AAACAAAGTGTTTGAACATGGTTCAACTCTCCATGACGTTGACTTCACAACACGTTTCGTTATCTTTTTTTCTGTCCATGGTGTAACACGATGTTCCAATGTTCCTGTAAATTTAAATAAATAATACTTAGTAAAATATATGATAAGTTACGAATTTAAAGAAATCTGCATGGTTTCTTTTCTTGTAGTACCACTGTTGAATAGAAGCTCGAAAAAACTCCATTAACATAGTAATGAGTAATTTCCGGGAATGACGACTTAGAGCGTTGATTGATTCTGCACTATTAGACGTCATGAAACCATATCTTGCTCCAAGTTGATGTACTCTTGACCATCTTTCAAACCCGACATCTTCTAGTGTTTGAGCACACTGAGGCAAAACACGTCTTAAACAGTTTATATGCTTATTAAAATCCACTTCCCGATAAGCTTTTACAGCCTTCCAGTATGTCTATTTGTGATTTTTTATACCAGCAGACCTTGATTTTAGATTTCTATACAAATGAACACCACAAAGTCCATGAAAAGCATCTGGAAACACCTTCTAACATCGTTGTCAATTGAGTTTTCCCTATCGGATATGATTGTCAGATTGCTAATAGGACCTATGCAATCCCTAAGATGCCCCATAAACCATGTCCATGAATCAGAGGTTTCAGATTTGCCAACCCCGTAAGCTATTGGCAGTATCCCATTGTTAGCATCCATGGCTACTGCTAATAAGTTTACTCCAAGGTATCGACCTTTTAAATGTGCTCCGTCAACTATAATAACTGGGCGCATGCAATTAATAAATGAACGAATCTACAAAATCAAATACACAAGAAATATAATCATTTAAATGTGAAATACATGTAACTAACAAAAATGAGTCAACAAAATTATATTGATTTACTAACCGCATCACCAATGGCGATAAACAGCAACTCAAAGCGTCCATCTCTATCTGTTTTGATATGAGTTACCGACCCCTGATTTTTCAGCTTTAAATTGTGACAATAAGCCGGCAGTTGGGCAAACGATGCTTTTGGCGACCCCCTCAACAATTCCAAGGCATAACATTTGGCTCTCCAAGCTTGAGAATATGAGATACTAATCTTGAACCGAGCATTCATGTCAATCATAATTTCATGTCCCCGATATACCTTACCATTCAAAAATATTAACTCAGCCAGAAAACCACCCAACACCTTTTTGTTTGCCTGTCTATGATGAGGAAAAATTTGGGTTCTTGAACATGTATGTTTATCAATAAAAGTCCTAACTTGAAACATTTCGCAATCTTTTATCCTCTTTGCAATCATACGCCACATACAGTTTTTGTCAATCATACACCTTGTTTCGAAACGATCTTTGCTTGATTTGTTAACTTTTAGTTGATAGCCATCTTCCACACATTTCGTATACAAAGCTATCTTAAAGTCTTCCTTTGTATCAAAACAATCATCTTTCTTGATACGAATAATTTTTGTGTAACAATCAACTGCTATCTTTACCAACTCTTCTTCCGGTATCTGAAGTAATTCTGGCATATTCCAGTTATACTCCCGTGGCATTTTCTTCGGGGACTTTTCTTTGGGGATTTCTTCTTCTTCTCTTTCTTCTTCAGTGTTATATGAATTACAAAATGGATGTTCAACATGTTCATTTACAGTCGTAACTTCCTCCTCATTATCATCAACAACATCTTCCTCGGCAACGGCTGTTTCATCATCAAAATTCGGGTATTGACCAATATCAAAATCATTACACGCAAGGTCTGTTTCTTCTTCTGAAAAATCATCAAAATCCGAGTATTGACCAAGATCAAAGTCCGGGTATTGACCAAGATCAAATTTCGAATACTGACTAGTACTCACAATTTTTTCTGTTGGCTCATCATCGTCTAACTGGTCAATACGAAAATTGGAATTTGGTGCTGAAAGTTGATTGGGATTTGGATTAGGGAAAGGTTGTGGGTTTTGAGATTGTGTTTGGTATTGGAAATGTGGTGAAACAATATTTGCTTGGTGATGAAATTGTGGTGGAACCATTAAATTTTGAGCACCATAAACTGGGGTTGAAAAACTTAGTTGATTACTACCCGCTACTGAACCAACTTCACTACTTCTAGGTTCAACAACATACAATATAACATCATCACTTGAAACACTAATGTAAGCAATGAATCGTTCAACATCTTCATTGTCGGTTAACAAATAAACTTTACCATTTCTCTGATAAGATAACCTAAATCCACTTAGGGGCTCTAAATTCAATTTATTTACAACATGTAACATTAGAGTTTCATAAGTTAACTTTTTTAATGATAGTTTTAGTTGAAGATTCATGGGTAAAGGCATATATTGTAAAACACCATGAACATTCTCCCATTACCCTCCAAAACACAAATCTATCCAAACATGATCAACATTAGATGATTTTATTATTGTAAATTAATTTACTAAACAAACAAGCTGCGAAACTAAAACCTGTTGCCGGATGGGGAAGGATGTCGTTGGATATAGGAACGGATGTCGCCGGAGAGAGTGATAGATGGAGATGTAATGAGTTGCGATTTAGGGATTTAGGTTATGAGTTGCTGCTGCTGCGTAGTTATATACCCAAAACATTTGTGTTGCGAAATTAAAACCTGTTACGAATTCAGAAATCGAGTTGCGAATTTGAAATTCAGTATTGCAATAGTCAGAATCTCGTTGCGATTTAGAGATTCGCATTGCGATTTACGTAATCGCATTGCGATTTTTCAAATTCGCGTTGCGATTTACGTATTCGCATTGCGAATTAGGAAAATCGCAACGCGAATTTGAGAAATCGCAATGCGATAGTCAGAATCGCGTTGCGAATCTAGAAACTGATTTGCGATACCGGAGATCGCGTTGCGAATTATCGTTCGCATTGCGATTTAGTTGGTCATTTTAACAAATCCAAAAAAAATTGATTAAAATTTTATATTATAAGACATTTTTGATCACTAACAATATTTTCTCTTTTAAAAATGTCACTTAAAAATGTCACCGCTTCTTTCTTTACTCATTAACCATTTCCTTCGTCTTCGTCTAATCCGTCGTCGTCTTCGTCTTCACTCTTCGCCCGTTTCTCTCTTGGCCTCAAAAGCGTCAGTTACGATGGGTCTCGTGCTTGCGCTTCGAACAATTTCGTAAGCCAAATTTATTATTTATATATAAATTTTGATTTCGTTTTTGGTGTCTTTAAGATGCTGAAGTGAGTTTTAGTTTACTTTTGGTTTTTTAGATGCTGGCTTTCCTTTTCTTATTATATAATTCGGTTTTCTTCTCTGTTTGGGTTGAATAATTGGTTTTGTTGGTATTATTTTTATGTAATGTGCCGCACGTGTGGGTATATGGTGAAATCGACGGTGCAACTTTTCTTATTTTCCTTGAAAATTTTGGCTTCGTTTTGATTCGTCCACTACTATTTGCCAGTAAAAGAAAGTTTTCTCAACAAAAGGCAAGTTTTGCCTTTCTGGGCGACTGGAAAAGGGACAAATCTATAAGCCCTCTTTCGTTTCGTTAGCAGTGGTAATGTTTTACTGATATGGATGCTTTTTTTTAATGGATGAAAATACTAGAAATGTGACATGGATCAACCACTGAATATTGTGAATGGGAAGCCAGTTATTCCTATCCTAAATGAAAGGACACTGCCCAAGGTCTTTGAATCGGCTCGACTGGAGACAACTGTTAACAGAAATAGTGCTAAGATCAAATTGTTTTACGGCACTGCCAATCCTGCACTTTCTCAGGTCATTGTTTTACGTCTTGATTACTTATTGCCTTCTGTGGTAGAGATTTTTTCCAGGTGTTACTTCCAATTTTTTTGTGCTTGACTGGTGTTACTTTTAATTACCATGTCAAAATGATAAGATTGCTAGGCAGGCTGTCCACCATCTCTAATAACCCTTCTAATTTGAACCGGTCAATATGCTATACATAATATGCCTGCTTGAATGACATTCCCCCAATTTGTCATATAAACAGTCTATTTTACAGATTCATTTTACTGCTGTTGTACCTTATCAAGCTTCACGCACTTTTAATGCTTTAAGGATTAGGATTACTTGCTGTATCTTATCTGAACTTATGTAAGTATACATTCATATTTCTTGAAACTTATGTTTGCCTGCTCTATTGTTGCAGGAAATGGCATGGTACATGGGCCTGGAACTGTGGAAGATCAGCATTAAGCGATTTGCTGATGGGGAAATTTATGTTCAGCTGCAAGAAAGTGTTAAGAGGATGTGATGTATATATAGTGCAACCAACATGCCCTCCTGCAAATGAGAATCTGATGGAGCTTCTCATAATTGTAGATGCATGCCGGAGAGCGTCGGCCAAAAATATCACTGTGGTGATTCCTTATTTTGGTTATGCCCGAGCTGATAGAAAGGTAAGTTAAAATGTAACTATTTCATAATAAACTGCAGGGGATGAAATTTGTAGTATCAACTAAGATACCAGCTGCAAATTAAATTGATTAAAAATCTGACCACCCGAAGTCGCCTAGTTCGATGACATTGTGTTTTTCCTTTTTATCATAATCAGAACAGATTGTGCTATATTGTGTTAGAATCATGTTGACTGAATCAATGCCCTTGCTTTGCAGTCCCCCCCCCAAGTTATAACTTCTGAAGGTTTTGGATCGTATTGTATTTTTGTGATACTAAATTTAATTTTCCGTCTGTAATCTTGTTTTCAGACCCAATGGCGAGAATCAATAGCAGCCAAACTTGTTGCAAATCTTATCACTGAAGCTGGTGCAAATCGTGTTCTTTCTTGTAACCTTCATTCTGGGCAGTCCATGGGCTACTTTGATATTCCAGTGGATCATGTTTACTGCCAGGTATTCAGCTATAAAACTCTAACCTTATGGTTGTTCACTGTCGATGGCTAAGCAATTGCTAATTTGTATATCCTTTAACTGTCTGGACTGTAGCCTGTGATTCTTGATTATCTTGCCAGCAAGAGAATTTCTTCCACTGTCTTGGTAGTGGTTTCACCTGATGTTGGAGGAGTAGCAAGAGCACGTGCTTTTGCAAAAAAACTGTCAGATGCACCTTTGGCCATTGTGGATAAAGGCGTCACGGACACAATGTTGCAGAGGTAATGTGTTCTCCACATCTCTGCTCTTATTATCTTTTTCTTTTCAAATTGATTGTGCAATTATATTTATTGTTATTGATATCGACATTGCAGACCTGGCAGTAGGCTGATGTCTGCTGCCAATTGGTCTTCAAAATCCTCAGTTTGTGCTTTATTTCTTGCTTTAGTTATATGACTATTGCATTATTATTGTCTTAAGAGTCCATGAATGCTTCTATTTTGCAGGTAATGAACCTTATTGGTGATGTAAAGGGAAAAGTTGCTGTTATGGTGGATGATATGATTGACACTGCTGGTGAATGAAGACAATGTGAAGAGTGTAAACATAAACCTCTTCTGAATCACAAATATGCACATTAATTTTTCTTATCATGATGTATACAATGGTTAAATGGTGGCAAAAAAGTTTGTCTATTACGTCTTTTTTCTGCAAAGTTCTATTACCCCATCTTTGGAAATGATAGTTTCATTGTGGTTTTGATTTGATGCCTTGAAAACGTTCCTCTTCGACCATTGGCTGTGTTATAAATTCGATTTATGTTTAATAACACTTTCTGTGTGTGCTAGGAACGATGGCAAAGGTGGCAGAACTGCTACACCAAGAGGGAGCAAAGGAAGTTTATGCATGCTGTACTCATGCAGTTTTCAGGTCTAAAATTAACTGTCTGAACTATGTTAAAAGTGTCGTTTGTATCAACCTTTTAATCGATATCATTTTGCTAATATATGTATTGCTTTTCATGGCAGCCCTCCTGCAAGAGAGAGGTTATCAAGTGGCATTTTCCAAGAAGTGATCATTACAAATACACTTCCAGTGGCAGAGAAGAACTACTTCCCTCAGATTACAGTTCTTTCTGTGGCGAATCTGTTGGGTGAAACCATTTGGCGTGTGCACGATGATTGTTCCGTGAGTAGTATTTTTCATTGAAATCGGATAGGAAAGGAATTACCCAAAGGCGTTTTCTTCTTCAGACTTTTGCATACTTTTGCATGATGCTGTTATAGATTGGACGATTGAGAAGAGAAATTGAAAAATAGGTAATAGGAAACATAGAGGATTTTAGAGAAGAAAATGCTTGTTCATTCATAACATACTGAAAAATATCAACTCAGCCAATTTATTTAGTTACAATGATAACAGAAGGATTGCCAGCTGGCTGTCCTTTCTAACAAAATATAACAACTCCTAATAATTTGTCTTCTTTTGCAGATACTGGATTAGTGGACTCGGGCTGCTCTCATTCTTCTTGGGCCTGCTCCAACAATGTTTGATCTATATCGGCCTGCTCCACTTCAGGTAAATCATTAACCCCTTACGTGCATCAATCCCTAATTTCTTTTGCTCAATCCCTAACATACGCATTTCTTCCCCCAATTCTTCCTCGTGTTCTCGCCCTAATTCTTCCTCGTTTTCTCGCCCTTCTCCTCCCACCATGACAATACCCACCCCTCGAGAGGATCCTTGTCCCCAAGGATCGAAAGAAGGAAACTGGCCTCGGAGAACAGAGTAATCCTCCCAAGTATCGTTCGAATCGTCGAGGTTAGTCCATCTTACCAACAACTGAGTAACTGGTCGGTTATTACGATTTATAATTCGTCTTCCCAATATTTTACTTGGTTCTGTGTGAAACTGACCCTCTTCATCTTCCACAGGAGGCTCTGTCAAAGCTGTTGCTGTAGTGCCAATATGCTTCTTCAACAGACTGACATAGAAGACAGGGTGTAAACGAGACGTTTTTGGTAAGTCAAGTTTATATACCACTTCCCCAATTCTTTCTAAAATTTTGTAAGGCCCGTAAAACTTGGCTGCTAACTTTAGATTCTTCCTCAGGGCAAGGGATGTTTGACGATACGGTTGCAGTTTCAGGTAAACCCAATCCCTATTGCAAAAATTCTTTCAGAATGCTTTTTATCTGCCTGCTGTTTCATTCTGTTTGCAACATTTTCTAATTGTTGTTTTACAATCTGCATGACTTCTTCCTTACTCCTCATTAGTTCTCCCACAGATTGTACTGCTGTTTCTGTCTGCCAAACCATTGTAGGAGGCTTATAGCCATATAGAGCTTGAAAGGGTGTTAGGTTTAGGGTTGTATGATAGGAAGTATTGTACCACCACTCAGCATGTGGCAACCATTTAGCCCATTGCTTTGGTTGAAGATACTGCTCAAGGCATTGATTCACCCTTTCTGTCTGACCATCACTCTCAGGATGGTAAGCAGTGCTGAATAGTGTAGTAGTGCCAAGCTGCTTCATTAGTTCTCTCCAAAAGAGACTAGTGAATGTTTTATATCTATCTGAAATAGCTAGTTTAGGCTGACCATGTAACTTGTAGACATTATCCAAATACAACTTAGCTACCGCAACTACAGTGTAGGGGTGGGACAAGGCCATAAAATGGCTGTATTTTGTAAATTTATCCACCACAACCAATGTACAATTTTTCTTGAATGAAGTAGGTAAGCCATCAATAAAATCCATAGTAACCACCTCCTAAGCTTGTTGAGGAATAGGTAAGGGCTGTAGCAAGCCTGGTTTAGGCACATGCTTTACCTTAGTTTGTTGACAGACTGTACAACATCTGACATATGTAGCTACCATAGTTTTAAGCCCAGGCCAATAAAAATATGATCTTATCCTCTGGTAAGTAGCTTGAATTCCTGAATGGCCCCCATGAGGGGAATCATGTAATGCTTGCAGAATTTGAAGCCTAAGAGACCCAATAGGACCAATGTAAACTCTGCCTTTAAATCTTAGTATTCCTTTGGAAAATTTCCAATTAGGATCAGCAGTAGCATTCACCATTAATATATTGATCCAATCAACAACCAATTTGTTATCCTTATAACTGCCTTCCACTTCTGTCACCCAACTAGGAATGATAAAAGTAGTCCCCATAGCCATCAGTTGACCATGATCTTCCCATTGCCTAAACAAAGCATCTGCCACCATATTTGACTTATCCTTTCTTTATTGAATAGAGTAATCAAGCCCCAGTAATTTAGTCAGCCCTTTCTTTTGAATAGTGGTGGTCAGTTTCTGCTCTAATAGATACTTTAGAGGCTCATGATCAGTTTTAATAATAAATGGCTTACTCTCTAGATAATGTCTCCACTTCGAAACTGCTAATAAAATAGCAAGATACTCCCTTTCATAAATGGAGAGGGCAACATGTCTAGGACTGAGAGCCTTACTTAGATAAGCAATAGGTCTGCCCTCTTGAGATAGCACAACACCAATACCTCCTGAACTAGCATCAATTTCTAAATAGAAACTCTTAGTGAAATCAGGTAAAGCTAAAACAGGAGCAACACATATAGCCTGTTTTAGGTTTTCAAAAGCATTCAAAGCTGCAGAAGACCAGTGAAAACTGTCCTTAGTAAGCATTTGAGTTAAGGGCTTACTTATAGAACTATAGTTTTTAATAAACCTCCTATAGTAACCAGTTAGACCCAAAAATCTACGCAGGGACTTTAAAGATTTAGGAAGAGGCCAATTCTTCATAGCTTCTATCTTAGTACGATCTGTTGCTACTCCTGCTGCTGAAATAATATGTCCCAAGTACTCGGGTCTGTCCAAAAAAACACTTGGACAGTTTTGCAAATAATTGATTGGCTTTCAAAACCTCCAAAACCAATTGCAAATGAGTAATATGTTCTTCCATAGAATTACTGTAGACTAATATATCATCAAAGAACACCAAAACAAACTTTCTAAGAAATGATTTAAACAAATCATTCATTAATGCTTGAAATGTAGCAGGGGCATTAGTAAGACCAAAAGGCATTATCTTGAATTCATAATGCCCTTGATGAGTTCTAAATGCTGTTTTGTAGATATCCTCCTCTTTAATTCTGATTTGCCAATAGCCTGACCTTAAGTCAATCTTGGAAAAATAAACTGCACCATATAGCTCATCTAATAGATCCTCCACCACAGGAATAGGAAACTTTCCTTCACTGTAAGATTGTTTAATTGTCTGTAATCAACACAAACTTCCAAGTGCCATCCTTTTTTTTAATTAAAAGGCATGTAGAAGCAAAGGGACTCTTGCTAGGTTGAATAATAGAGGAGGCTAACATTTTAGCAATCTGTTGTTCTACTTTAGTCTTCTGGTTATGAGGAAATCTGTAGGGTCTTAGATTAATAGGACTAGAACCAGGTTTGAGAGGAATAGCATGATCATGAGTCCTTGTAGGAGGTAACCTTGTAGGTTCAGCAAAAACAGAATGATACCTCTTTAAAAGAGGTTTGAGAGCTGCAGGAATCGACTTAGGAGTCTCAATCATACTCAGCAGAACCACATGCCCCAAAATAGCTGCATCAGATGCTGTCATTTTCAATAAAGTAGCACATGAAATTTGCTGTAAAAGCAGTGAGAGTTGCTGTCCTTGTATAACAATATTTTCACCTTGATGTTCAAAACTCATTGTCATCTTATTGAAGTCCATCAAAATTGGGCTAAATAATTTCATCCAATCAACCCCTAAAACCATATCACTTCCTCCCAATTTATGGAGTCTAAAGTCATGTATGAATGAATGTCCTTGCATCTGCCACTCCACCGTATTGCATCTAGCTGAACTATAGAGCTGTTGGCCATTAGCTACTGTAATAGCTAAAGGGTTGGGAGTTAGAACTTGAATTCCAGCATCAACCCATTATGGTGTCAAAAATCTGTGTGTACTTCCACTGTCAATCAGAATGTTCAAAGGTCTGCCTTGAATTGTTCCTTGAATCCTCAAAGTATTATGGCTAATACACCCAGTAATAGCATTCATAGATATTTCTAAACCTTCCTCTTCTTGCACTATCTGCTGGTCTGAGTCAGTAGGGACAGAATCTGTAGGAATAATATTCTCCTCTTCAATCATCATATTTAAGTTTCTTGTCTTACACTGTTGGCCTGGTTGAAATTTTTCTCCACGCTTAAAACAAAGGTTATTTTGCCTTCTGTAATCAATGAGATTCTGTTTAGGATTGGAAATTGGTATGGATTTAATAGGTATTGGCATTGAATTTGTCTTCGAAGTATTAATGGGGTTTGGGTAGGGTGGGACCTTAAAGGAAGGTCTCAACTTTTTGTTTTCAAATTCCACAGATAACTCATTGAGCTTAGCTTGTTTGCATGCCTCAAATAAATTTTTAGGATCTAAGGCTTTTACTCTATGTTTGATGTCTTCTCTAAGTCCACTTATAAAAAGTGACACAAAGAAATCCTCACTCAAAGTAAGATTTTGTAATAGCATGTGTGGTTGTAACTCCTTAAACCTTTCTTGATAGTCTTCAACAGATCCTTTCTGAGTAAGCTTAGTGAATTCCTCCACAATGTCAGAAAAAGACCTATCACTAAATTTGACACAAATCAGCTTCAAACTCATGCCATGTTACATGATGCTTCTGCATAATATAGCCATCAAACCATATTTCTGCTTTTCCTGTAAGATAAATTGTAGCCACTTCCACCCTCTGATCTATAGGAACATTACATAAGGAAAAATACTTAAGACACTTTTGAAGCCACCCCCTAGGATTTATACCTTCAAAAAATGGCAACTCAATTTTGGGTCTATGCCACATAGTCCCTACACTGTTAAAAGAACCCCCCGGCCCCCTGTTTTCAGCTTCCAGTCCCAGCATAATAGGTCTATTGTTATTGTTTTCACCTATTTGATTCTCAAGCCTAGAACTGTTCTTAAGGGCTAAACAAGCATCAGGCCTATCTTTCGAAATCCCTGATTCATCAGTTTTATAAGTGAATCTCGACTTATCCTTCACTACAGTCACCAAAACAGGATTTTTCTCCCCATTTTTAGAGTTATTAGGAGTGTTTACCTGATCACCTGCAGACTGCTCTTGCTCACCATTTCTGCCAGTTAAAATCTTCAACAGCTCCTCCACATAGCCTTGATTAGTGGACATTCTTGCCTCTAGAGCAACAATCCTGTTTTCCTGAGTCTCCCACCATTTAGGTGGATTAGACTCATCTTGGCCTTGTTTCACCAAAGTTGTTAGTTCCTCCATTTGTTTTTGCAACCCCGATAAATCAGCTTCCATACTCTGATTCTTCTTTGTCATGCTACTGATTTACTTTCCAAAACCGAGGCTCTCGATACCAATTGTTATAGATTGGACGATTGAGAAGAGAAATTGAGAAATAGGTAATAGGAAACAGAGAGGATTTTAGAGAAGAAATTGCTTATTCATTCATAACATACTGAAAAATATCAACTCAACCAATTTATTTAGTTACAATGATAACAGAAGGATTGCCAGCTGGCTGTCCTTTCTAACAAAATATAACAACTCCTAATAATTTGTCTTCTTTTGCAGATACTGGATTAGTGGACTCGGGCTGCTCTCATTCTTCTTGGGCCTGCTCCACTTCAGGTAAATCATTAACCCCTTCCTCACGTGCATCAATCCCTAATTTATTTTTCTCAATCCCTAACATACGCATTTCTTCCCCCAATTCTTCCTCGTGTTCTCACCCTAATTCTTCCTCGTTTTCTCGCCCTTCTCCTCCCACCATGACAGATGCCTTGGCTCCAGACTTAAAACTGGAGAATGGACCACAGATAGGAGTAGGTTTTAGATTAAAATCTGGTGTTTGGTCCAAATGGCATGGGGAATCAACACGCGATGGGTCCTATATTCCATTGCTTCTTGCTCTCTGCATTTGCATTGCATAACTTAAGTCTCTTCTTAGTTTTCTTTTGGCTAAATGATCTTCCATTTTCATTCTTCATTACCTTGTACGGGTTGAATGTGTTGAATGGTTCCTGGAGTATAAAAGCTCTGTCATTTTCTCTCTGGCAGGTTCAAATCTGTCTATGATACAGGTGAGCTCTTCTGGGAGTGATCTTTTTTACCTAATGCTAATTGTTTTATTGTCAACAAAGTACAAACCACTGAAACCATTGTTCAGACATCAAAGTGTTTTAATTCTCTCATGTCTCATGCTTTTGAACATAGCCAGATTATACGTGTGTATATATATAAGTGAAACATCTTCCATTAGAGGTGATTTTGTGACCATTTTTTTTGAACATTTAATTCTCATGCTAATTTCTCTCTCGTTTCATACGTTTTATGAGTATTGAACCTTGAATTTGATTAATCTGTGCTAGATTTCTCTCGATTTGGATTTTATAAGTGTATATATGTAGTTTAACTTATTTATAATACGAGTTTTTTTTCTTTTCCTTGGGATACCGATTTCTTATTGGTTTCGTATTGTTTGATTTTGTTTTTCTTATAATCCTCATGAGCGAGATATATATTTAATCATTTTAATTTAACATAATTTTTTTACTTTTTAAATTTAAATTTTTTAATCTAATTTAAATAATAATTATTAAATTTGTTAAGTCAAATTTTATTATTAATCTTATATTATGTGTAATTTATGAATTTAGTTTTTATTTGAAAATTTGACTGATTTTAAAATTTAGTTATATTATTCTGATAATATTTAAATCAAGATTGAAACTTTAAAATTCTAAAAGTACATAACTAAAAATAAAATTAGAATATAAGAATTAAATTTAAAATTTACTCATAGGAAAGGGATTAAAGACAGAATTTGACCTTATTTTCCCCGAAAAGAGAAATACTTAAAATTATTGATAAGTGGCTACTAGGGTTTCACCCTTCACTATAAATACCCTTTTCGCTGCTCAGCTTCATTCACTCCTGAGATTTGGAAAAAGCCGCCTCTTGAAAATTGAACTGAGTTTTTCATCTTCCGTTTGAAAGTAGCGTTGATGAACATTGTTATGTGTACCAGAGGAGCATCCAGTGACGGTCACACAATCCCTCTAAGAAGTTCTGAGCTTAATTTTGTCATATTTTTTTTTTAGATTTGTTAAAAATTAAAGTTCTTGGGTTTTTTTAGGGAGAAAGGATTAAAAGCGATATGATGATAGAAATTCAATGGTCTGTCAATCCACTGATTTAATTTGATGTTACATTGAAGTTCCGACAGGTTCTGATCGCTTTTAATTTCTCCTCTCTTCAAGAATTGTTTTATTATCAAATTTTTTTGTTGAATTTCGTTTTACTGAAACTATATCCTGGGCTTGTGATGAATCTCTTTTTGCAATGGGTAATTTGCGTCTGAATTAGTATTTTTTTGATGCTAAAACACCTTGGAGAACTGATGCCCACTATTTCAGTGTGTTTTGAAACGATTTTTGTTTGTAAATGAATCAGATCTCGTGGTTAGTTCTTTGGAATCCATTATCAGTATCACCCAAGTTTTTTTGCATATTTTATTTATTATTATATTCTTAAAGTATGGTTTCGCTCTTATTTGTTCGAAGTTTCTTATTTGTTTTTTTTAAATTTAAATTCAACCATTTTGCTTTCATGTATATCCTTTAGGGCAACGGATGAATTCCTATATTTAATGGGTAATTTGCGTCTGAAAATTTATATTGATGCTATCACCTTGGAGAACTGATGCCCTTTCTCTCGTATTACTTTTTTAAAACCTTTGGTGCTTTGACTCTTCTTTTGAATAGCGTTTTGGATTTGTCATTATGCTGTCAATTTGTGTTCAGATTCTATATCTTAGATCTGAGTTCTTAATTGGATACTCCAATGGAGCATCATTATTCTCCAACCCTACCTCGTAACATTGAATGAGGACTTAAACAGCCGAACAAACGCATGGACGAATAAAGATGTGATTGTAATTGAGGAATAACATTTAGTCGGAGTTTGAAGGATCCTTAATATAGATTTTGGGTAAATCAAAAGCCAATAAATGAGAACTTAACGATGACGAGTTCCGCCAAAAGACCTATCTGGGTACCCATTTTTTTCATTTTGGATTGCTGCAATCGACCGCCGCCCTTTCTTTCGATTAAGTACAGCTATATATTCTATGTTCGACATATAACGTAAAGCATGTCTCCAATATTGATGAAAAATGCCCCTGGGATGCGTTTAACAGGTACCCATTTCTGGTTTCTTTTGAATTGTAAGCCTTCAACTTCATTCACTTGAAGCAAGAGTGTTAATTCCAACAGAAGCTTGGCCATAGCCTTCAATGTGATTTGGTGTCTGTGTACAAGTCACCTTCTCTTCCCAAGGTTGAAGAACTTTTTTGTGCCCATCATTTTCTCAGTTACTTCATCTGCTATCCCAAGATTAACTGTTTTACCCTTCAACTAAAATGGACTACCAAGTTCATTTAGGTATAACTAAAGTTACTGTTAATTGTTAAGTGTTCTTAGATTAGGTACGTGGAAGAAAACCCAGTCTTTGCAAGCCAAATGGAGACCTTTCTGTTCATTATCATGATCTAGCTTGCTCATGTTAATTATAGGAATATGGGGGTATTCGGCTATGGAGATGACATTGACTTCAACCTCTTGTTTGGTCTCTCAATTGAACGATTATGAGTGAGGATGTATGCGATATTTTATGTTAGAAAGGGTAATGTATAAAATTTTAGGAGGTGAACTTATATTGGAATTTGAAAATTTTAGAGGGTTGACAATTGCACCATTTTGGTCCATCCCTGTTCATTAGGTTCTTGGATGTAAGGGGTTTTTTATACTGGGGTTTTTTGCACCAATAGGGTAGCTTGAAAAAAAATAAGGGTTTTTGGCACATTGGCTTTTAATTTGAGATTTATGACATTTGTTTAAGTGTATGATAAACTTGTCACTTTGAGATGAGTTTTTTGAGATATTTTTAGTGGATCTTGATGATTTAGCCCCACATATATCATTAATTTATTATATTTATCGAGATTTGTCACTCTTAGATGACAAGTTAAAAAATTATTATTTTTTAAGTACTGTAAAATAATTAAATTTTAAAATTAAAAATATAATATATAATAATTCGTCATCTTGAGGCGACGAGTTCATTCGAATTGAAAAAATAGTCATTTTGTAGTAGTTTGTCAACGGTTATTTGGGCAATGGTTACAAGGGAAATTGGTCGGATTAAATTAAAAAAGGTAACTTAATTATAATGTAAATTAATAATTTTATTAAAATAAAAGTGTTTACAAACTAATAAAATTTATTTATATTTCTTAAGTTCTTAACGATATCTAAGAGTGATCAAATGATAATGGCGTGTGGGTCGTCGGCCTTGATCATTGTCATCGTCATCATCTCCATATTGGATTGTTGAATAAAGGGTGTACTTATCACACTCTGAGATCCACCTTAGAAATACGAGAATGGGCTTATGGTATTTGACGCCATCATTTACGTTATTGAATCGACCTGACAACCTTGTTGACCATATATGATATGATCCCATTCACTCTGACCCACATGTTTTGTCGAATATGCTTGAGTGCGTTGGATTGCCTTCCATGAAGTCCAACCCAAGTCGACTGAGTTTCGGTTGAACTATGATATGAAGTATAAAAACATAAACTAGCCTAAGATGCATAAAAATAATCTTCAACTGCAGATGTTGAAGTAGCAGAAGAAGATTTCTTTGACTTGGTGAATCTGGCCTTGTGTTGTTCCCATTCTCCCCTTTCATCCAGTGTCGTGAGATATGGTTTCTTATTATTTTAATAATTTTAGAGATAAGGAGAATGGTCGAAATATAGGTCCATCGACGTAATCTCGTAACGCA